GTGCGCAGTGAAATAGCTCACGTTTTTATACACGCAAACCTTTGATAGATCCGGCCCTTTGTCTCAAAGGAATCTCATGGATGCATTTCTTCCAGCTGCCTCTGCGCTTCTTTTCTATCTCAGCTTCACTCAACTTCTCATTGATATACTTTGATACATTGGGCTGATTTCTCTCACCAACAAGCAACATATTTAAATTATATTAAATTGTATTAATTTTAAAATTAAAATAAACAGATATACTTTCAGTTTACCTCTTATGCACTTATCAATATACTAAGTTAAGTTTAGGCTACTTTTAGACAGCTTATGCGTTAAGCATACTACAAGTCTTAGTATATATGCCCCATACCTATAGTACAGGGTACCTTTAGTAACTTTACTAAAACTATGTAAGGTTTAAACTTCATATTCACGTATAAAAAAGTCTACAGGTGATTTAGATGTGTGCACATTAGTATGACCAGAGGTTCTAGCCTATTAGAAAGTACACTCTCATAAAATATAAGTAGACTAGGGTGTCTTTAATGAGTAAATGATAGTATACATGAAAAAATACCTAAGGTGTACTTTAAAGTTTACTTAAATGTCCCAATTTCCTCCTAATTAGTATATATTTCAGTAAACCTCTGGTCTACTAGCATCAATAAACTTGGTAAACTTGGGGTATATACTTTTGTATATGTGAATGTGAACTTGAGCTATACCTAGTTTTGGTAAGGGTTAACTAAGACCATTGGTCGATAAAGCTCCTCGTCATTCAAACTCTGATTTAAAATCAGACAAATACTTTCTGTTTATTCAGAATTAAGAACTAAGATTATCATAATATTTACTTTTTTAGAAACATTAGGGAATTAAAAGGAAACGTTCAAATTTGGGTGATTTCAGAGCTTTAAAGCAAGCAAACAACACCCTATAGACAAAAGCAAAATTTCCCATCCATCTTTGTTTGAAAGAGTTTTGAATATTGCTTTTGGTCCCATACTTACATTTATTTCACTTTGATTTGCTCCCTCTCTGTTTTTTAAGTTTCATTTTATTTGAAATGCAGGAATAGATGTATATTAACAAACTGTATAAAGTAACTGATAAAAAAAAAAAAAACAGGCTGAAATTGTGTCTTAAGTGCAACAAGGTTATAAAGTCGTTGTCAAATTAGGGGGTTTCATTCCGGAGTAGATTTAATTTTTATGCAGAGAATAACAAAAAATAAAATTATTTTGCCCTGTTGAAGGATTTTAGTTCACTGAATTCATATAGGAACACCTGTATATCTAGATATGGTAATGATATGGATATTTTTATGTAACATGGGCTTTTCTGGCTAACCATTGTTTTTTGGCTCACTTCCTGTTTGCATTTCTTCTTCTTGTGTTGCAGTATGATCTATTCCTTGGTTACCTCATAACAACTGCTTTCTTAGCATCCTGGGACGAGTGCTGACGCCTCTAGACACGTTGGATATGGCGGACCATGACGGTTTAGGAGCGATAGTAGAACATAATAAAGGGAACTTATATTTTTTCTGTTTTGTTTTTTTTTTCCGTGGAGCCAAACAAACTCAGCTGGACCCGAAGCTTCTTTTCAGAATTGCCAAGACCCAAACGACATCACATCTTTGACTGTATAGGAAGAACTTTGAACTAAATCTGTTGTTTACAGTTTGCTCTCAGCAGGACCCGAGTTATTCACTGCCTGGCTACGTTTGTAATACACACACATATAAAAACATATTTATATACATATATATATACAAAGACACATCCTCCTCTGCTGTGCCGCCAAGTTTGCTGCACACCGGCGCCAGCGGTAGCCTGGAGGACATACGGCACAGTAGCGTTTGCACAGTTTGTCTCAGGCACAGCACAATGAAGCACTGTCCAGACCAGTCCTCCTTCTCACCTCACCCACCGTAGCTTCTTCAGAGACCCCAGAGAAGGACACAGGAACAGCAAGCAAACGGATCACACTGTTCAGAGAAAGAGGAGGGAGCTTGGGGAGGAATGAGGCATTGGATTAAATGGTTCTCCATGTATGCCTCCCCTCCACAGGAGAACACAAACACAGTCCTGGAACTGTGGGATTTTCTTTTAAAACTTTGCATTAATGGCTTTTGTGACGTGTGCATTTTGGTGTATTCTTTAATCAAAAGGCATTTCTGTTTTGTTGACAGAGAAAGCTACTTGGCAAATGCCCCCTTAGTGTTGTCTTAGTGTTGTTCTTTTGTGGGAAAACTTCAAATAAAAGAAAAAATGGGATCATGTGGAAGATTTTGTTTTAGAGAAACACATGCTCTTTGCACAAATGGTTAACTTGCTCTTGCACAATCCTGGCAATATCTGCTTCAGACAGTAGAGATGTTTTATTATATTCTGGCTTCGCAGGTGAAGGTCTTCCAACATGTAAAGTGCGCGGCCTTGTCTGAACACAGGGACAAAATGTGAATCTTTTCTAGCTCTCTTGGACCAAAATGTTGTATTTAATAATTTAAATATATTAATTCATTGGTATTCATGATATGCTGATGGCCTAAACATTCTTTTTCCAAACTGACTTTAAAAAATAAGAATAATATAAAATCAGCTTCAGCAAATGTTTCAGGGTTTATGGGACGTTTTTAGGATTCCTCTGATAAACTGTCAGATAGTCAGTCAAATAACTTAAATCAGCTGGAACCTGAATCAGCAAGAAAAGGTGTTTGATGCTGGATCTCCATGTAGCTCAGCCTTCAAGCCACCAGGCCGCTCTTCAGATCTTCGCCCACCATCTTTCACCTGCCAGGTGCTTCTATGTGGTAGCGGCGCAGGAGGGAATGGCCCCCTTCTTCTTTTCTCATCTTATAACTTGAGCATTTTCTATCTACTGTGTATGTATGTGATCAGAAAGGTTGAATTTAGATATTGTTTATGAAATAAAGTATTTTAAAATCTAATGTTTTCAGGCTGTTTTTTGTACATTAAGCATTTGATTTGATCCAAGTAGACATTTTACCATTTTACATCCAGAAACTTTAGTCAGTTTCATGGGTTTTTAAGAAAAAAATCTGAATGTCTTCACAAAAAATCCTGTCAAAAAAACCACAATTTTGTTAGCTAAGAGTTCAGCTACTTTTGTTTAATTTAATTTTAGCACATGTGTTGCTGTTGTGTGAAGGTCTCAGAGGTGTTAGAGAACACTGGAGAACAAAAAGCTTCATAAGGACCCAGAAACATGGATGACAGCTCAAGGAGAAAGATGAAGGTTCCTTCCAAAAACCTCAAATGGTGTCTCATTGTTCCACTTTCTTCATCTTTGGCGGGGTCAACAGTAAGAACCCTATCAAGGGTAGTAATCGACTCAAGACTGCTGTGTTTAATCAGGGCAGTCTTCAGTCTACAGAAATCATTAAGTGATGGGAACACATAAATGATCATTTGTGAAATTACAAAGCTACAAACCAAAAAACTTACACTCATGCATGGTGTGAGGGATTGCCTTCGAGTCAATGAGTCGATGCAATCAGATGGTTTTCTTTAGATAGAAAACTTTGAATCAATTTGACTGGATGATCTGGTTTAATTGTCTGTTGAAATTGAACTGAAACTATAATTAATTTAGTGAATGGCTGAAGCTCTCTGTTGTAAAACCCAAAACGTGAATTTGTGTACATTATCGTGTCCCGCAGAGTAAATGGGAATAAATAATATTTATTTTTGCAAACCACCATGAGTGGGGCTGTGCCTATCCAGTGGCAAGAACGTCTTGACATCCTAATGCTAAATGAATATGTGCTAGAAAGCTTCTTGCCTTCTCTTTCAAGTTCTCCTGCTGATAGAAGTGTTATGGCGAACGCAGATGCAGAGGTGTCAAGTAACAAAGTACAAATACTTTGTTACTGTACTTAAGGTATCTATACTTTACTCCATTACTTATTTTTGTTCCTACTTCTGACTTCTACTCCTTACATTTTCACACAAGTATCTGTACTTTCTATTCCTTACATTTTTAAAACAAACGTTACTCGTTACTCTTGGCTTCAGTTTAATGTTTATAAATATTTATTTCCCGTCATGTGCTCCATCCAATGCAGATCATTGGCTCCATCCACATCTAGTGAAAACTAGTGTGAACTGGATATACGCATATAACGCAAAAACACTCATTGGTTAGCCAAAGG